GTTCATGACCAGCGATGTCCCACTATAGTTTTAGGACAAACTATATGAACTTCACGTTCACCTTCCAAACCCCTCTCTGGAATTTAAATCCATCCCTTAATTACTTGATTTTGGCTGCATATGTTTTGATCTTCATACCACAGGTCAAAAAGATCATGAACCAAGTGTTCCAGTCCTTGCGGGGAGAGTTTGAGTTGGAGGAATCTTACAGTGGCAGGACCATTCTGGGAACCATCATGAATACAATCAAGGTACAGCCAGCCAGTTGTCACTTGTTTCATTAGAATGGGTATTTTGTTGCTGTATTTAAGGGATCGTGAATTACTCAAGATTATTTATCAATAATTAGGTTGCCTGGAATGACTTGTATCTAGACAGATATGGTTAGCCTCTTTTAACAAAAAGAAGCCAAGTCATTTGAACTAGATGACCAGTTGTGGTAATAGGGACTGAAGAACTAGGAGTGCCTGCTGTTTTCCTTTCAGTGATCATTTCCTCCTTCTTGGCTTTTGAACAGATGGTGACTCTTCAGCTGTTAAATCAGCAGGAGCAAGAGAAGGGAGAGAGCAGCAGTGAAGAAGAAGAAGAGGAAGAAGAAGAAAAAGAAAAAGAAGAGCGACCTCAGAGACCATCCCAGGAGCAGAGTGTCTCAGCCAATTTTGGGCTGTCTCAAGCACCCCTGAGTAGGGAGAGGCAGGAGTCTCCCCTGGTACCGGGGCAGGTTGTCGAGGAAACCATTCCATTGCCTCCTCAGGTCCTTCCCACTCCCCAGGATGATGTACAGAGAAGGAAAGGGGAGCCCTCAGAAGCAAAGGCACACTCAGAGATAAAAGATGGTTCCCTCCCACCTGAACTGGCTTTCATCCCATCCCACAGAGTCTTGGAGCCCCCGACTTCAATTCCACCTAAGCCTCCGGGCCCTGTAACTATGGACTCTGAGTGTGAGGAGACACTTGCTGCCAGCCCAGTGGCAGCTGAGCCCAACAACCCATTAGAAAAGGTATGTGTCAGAGAAGTAGCCCCAGATGGCCCACTGTCAGAAAGCTCCATGAGACTGTCGTTAACTTCAGACCCTGAGAAGGGGGACCCACTCACCTTAGGGCCTGAAAGCCCAGGAGGAGAGCCTCAGCCTCCAGAGCTCAATAAAGACAAGGATGTCACTAGCACCACTGGTTCCTCCGAGGAGCTGTTAAGCCCAGAGGCAGGCTCTACAGCTGCAGGAGCAGCCCTCAAACCCAACCATCCTTCTCAGCGTTCCAGGTATGTTCCTCTGAGCACAGTTTCAGGGACAGGGTGACTACAGGTGGAGGTTGTCTCTGTTTTCTCCACAGCTGGCAATTGTCCTTCAGAGACTGACTGATTTACTTACTCATTCATTAATTTATTCATTCATGTACTTATTCAACAATACCTACTATGTACGAGGCTCTGTGCTAGGCTCTGGGATAGTGTGGTAGGCACGGCAGTTTTGGTTCTTGAATTTGGGGAGCTTACAGTCTAGTGGGGAAGGTAAACAAATACATACTTATTTATTATAAAAGTATGATAAGTGCTTAAAAAAACAAAACAAAACAGGGTGCCATAATAGAACAAAGAAGGAGTTGTTCTACTTTAGGTAGGGTGGTTAGGGAAGGATTCTGAGAAGTTAACATTTAAACTGAGAGCTGAGGATAGAAAGGAACCATCCATGTCAAGAGCAGGAAGAAGGAATTGCACAAAGTGAGAACAGCACACGTAAGGGCCCTGCTGTGGGAGGGCGTATGACACAATCAAGGAACTACAGGAAGGCACTGTAAGTAGGAGAGGAGCGGAGCTAAGCTGAGGTTGGAAAACTAAGTAG